ACTTATTAAAAATTATCTCTTCCGGGGCCAGTAGGTGGCTCCCTTGGGTCTGGAAGTAATACACACTGCATTCCCACTTGGCTAACTGTGGCTGAAGTCCTGGACCTAGTGGCTTGAAAAATCAAGAAAGAAAGAAAGGAGAAAAGGTAAGGGACCAGAATCTTTAAGGTTCCAGTATTTCATTGTGATTTTTTTCCACGTGAACTAAATATTCACTTATTAAAAATTATTTCTTCCAGGGCCAGCAGGTGGCTCCCTTGGGTCTGGAAGTAATACACACTGCATTCCTACTTGGCTAACTGTGGTTCAAGTCCTGGACCTAGTCGGTTTGGCCATCACCCGCTTTGGGGATGATTTTTTCCTTCTGTCTCTGGCAAGCACATGAGCTCTATGGCAAAAGAAACTTAACAACAACAAAACTAACAAAATTCTCCCATGAGTGAGAGACAAAAAGAGAGAAAGACAGCATTTCCGATAAAGGCTTGATTCTGCAACCTATTCCCAGCCTCAGCCAGCCCTGGGCTGTGGCACACGTGGGCCTGTTGTACCAAGGAAGGTCATACACATGAACTTGTCACCTTCCCATGTGGGTCAGCCTTGCAGAGCACTGTGTAACACAGTGTTACCGGACGCTCATGTAAATATTCACTATCATAACTAATTCTGTACTCAAAGGTTTCTCTTCTTTTCTGTAAGTAGAATCCTTAAAATTACATAACCCGTGGTTCAGCCTTGCAGAGTCTTACAATAGTAACACACAGTGTTACTGGACGCTAATATTATTATTCACTTTCATACCTAATTCTGCACTCAAAGGTTTCTCTTCTTTTCTGTAAGTAGAATCCTTAAAATTACATAACCTTTGGGTCTCAACCAATTAGGCTCCCCCCCTAGTTTCACAATTCTATAGTTTAATTTTTCGAGACTTTCCCAAATTTAACTCAGGCATGCCCTCCAATTTATAAGTTCAGTGTTCTCAGAATCACCTGGGAAAACTGTAAAATTATAAGGCCAGACCCTAGCTTACTACTAGTAAACCCTAGAGGAGTCCTTTACTAGCTCTCATAACCTTCAGGTCTCACCCAATTAGGCTCCTCCCCTAGTTTCACAATTCTATAGTTTAACTTTTCAAGACTTTCCAAAATTTAACTCAGGCGTGCCCACCCTCCAATTTACAAGTCCAGTGTTCTCAGAATCACCTGGGAAAACTGTAAAATTATAAGGCCAGGCCCTAGCTTACTACTAGTAAACCCTAGAGGAGTCCTTTACTAGCTCTCTAGGCCTTCCTAGTATGTGCCAAGGTTTGAGAACCACCACTCCGGGTGAAAGTTTCAGAGTATGACTCAAGGCCCCCTAATTATGGGAATTCCCGACTCCAGGGTGGTCCTCAGGGTCAAGTCCTTTCTTCATCTCTCATAATCAAATGATGCTCAACCCCCCAGACTCACTTTTCCATGGCAGTAACAACTAATTAGTAATAACTACTAATTGAATTAGTAAGGAATCCTAATTGATATTCACAAACAAAACTTGGCACATTTCCTAGAGTTTATTTGGGACACCTTTGATAAGAAGTCTAGCTATTGTGCAGAACTTGGCAGTATTTCAAAGATGTGCACAAATGCATGGGGCAGGAAGCGGCTATTCCTGCAGTACATGAGGTGCTTTGCTTTCAGGGCATTATCATGGATGTCTTGAGACAGTTATTGACCTATCACTTTGCATTCATTTCCCTATTTCTCTGTGTCTGTCCTTCCACATAGCAAGATATTGACAGGCTAAAAACTACGTTTTAGACTCCCTTGGGTCTGGGAAGTAAGTCAGGTTGTACCGGTGAGACACACTAAGTAAAATCTGGGGGCAGATGCTAACTGTTTTTAGCAGCAGCAGTAAGCTAAGATGTGGGTTCTGGCAGAGAGGAGTTTTTGCAACAGGCAGATGCTGGTCCTGAATCTTTAGGTTTGGAACAGCTGTGACGCTGGCACGATTTCATGAAGCTTCGATCACAGTTGCAGTGCTGTGATTCCAGTCCCAGACCCAGTAGTTTGAAACTCATGCCAGGCATGTGTGTGTGTGTGCCCAAAATCTCGAGAAGAGAATGGAGGAAGAGGGACTGCTGTGTAGCCATCCCCCTGGGGGGATGTGTGATTTCTTGCTTTCTGTTTCTCCGTCTGTCTCTGGTGAGCACACATGCCCTATCGCAAAAATCTCTCAAAAAATATATTTATCTACAGAAATACCTAGAGTAGTTTCTGTTTCTTATACTCAGTTGTAACTGGTACTTTCCATGTTTTTAATTATGTCCTGTTTACATTTAGGTACTTAATAGAAAAATTATTACTTTCTTCTTGTGTAATTCTTGTACTATACTATTGTTTTTTTCCTTCGTTCTAAAAAAATATTTATTTATTTAATTTTATTTTTTATTATTATTTTTTTAATTAGACAAGAGAAAGAGAGAGAGAAAGTGAGAGAGCAAGCTGCCAGGTCCAAGACTCAAACTGTGGTTGGCCATGTGGGAGTCTAACACCTTAACAACCATGCCACCTGACGGCCCCACTACTGTTGTTTTCAGTTCCAACATTCTTTTTAAATTGATCTTATTGTTGGCAGAGGTATACACCCTTGCTAAAAAGAGAGAGAGAAAACTCCCTCCAATGGAAGACCGTCACACTGCACTCTCTTCTCCTCCATTTCTCCACACTGCTGGAATATTTGGGGCACACATGCGCATATACGTGGGGTGGCTGTCAAGCTACCAGGGCCAGAATTCAAACCGTGGTCAGTTATGTAGGATTGGGCTCCCTGTGCTTTGCACTTAATCACTAATCCATGGGGCTGGTCAATGCCAACATTTTATTATCACAATTTATTTTTTCCACTGGAAAGTGACTGACTATGAGTATGTTGGGGGCAAAATATTCCAGATCTTTCCTACTTGGGTTATAATGAGAAAAGCTGGGAGAACTACCACTCTAACTAAATTCTGTATTTCAGACATCCTGGCCTATTGGCTACCATGGGAACAAATCTCTTATTAACCACAGCTCACAGTATCTCTTGCATTGAGTGTCATGTCTATGCTCAGCCATACGTAAATCCTACTTATCCCAAGAATCGGCCCTAGGTTTATCCTCTTCTTTAATCGAACTTATGGAAGTATATGACCTATCTCCTCAGTCAGAGTCTTTGAGGGCAGACATCATACCCTACCTCTCATTAGAGCACAACACTTAAGAGTTACTTAATGTTTCCTGAGGACAATGACCAGTGTCTGGGAGCTAACATTTCCTCCTCTACTTGCTTCAATGGCCACTGAGAACTTTACATTTGGAGTCCCATTTTCAAACTTTAACCACAAAATTGAAGCACAGTATCAAAATCAGCAGAAAATATAAAACAAAGGAGTACAAATAAAGCATGAAGCTCAAGTAAATATTAAAGAATAGACTGAGTAAAGGCATAAATCTCTCTGCATACAATATAAAATATACTTATTGGGTTGTTGAAAAACTGATGTATTTTTCTATGCAAAAATACCATGACTTTTCCAACCCAATATGAGTAACAGTGATTGCTGTGGGGAAGACAAGGGCCTTAGATTTATTTCAGTCATTAATACAACTGGGTCGGGACCAGCAGATGGCTTAATGGCTATGTTGCTGAACTCCCACGTAGGCGACTGCGGTTCAAGGCCCGCGGTTCAAGTCCCAGACCTCGTGGCTTAAACTCATGCCGGGCACGTGTGTGTGTGTGTGTGTGTGCCCAAGATTTGGGAGCAGAATAGAGGAGAAGGGATTGCTGCATGGCCACCTCCCTGGGGGGGTGATTTCTAGCTTTCTATCTCTGTCTCTTTCTGTCTTCCTGGCAAGTGCATGCGCCCTATAGCAAAAAACTCTCAAATGAAACCAAACCAAACCAAAACAAAACAACCACAACTGGGGTCCACATGGAGGTCATGGACCCGATTTTTCTGAGCAGCGTCCATTCTGACTGGTCAGTGTCCTCACCATTCCAGTGGTTAAATATTATGAATATCGCCTCTGGGTATGACCAATAACTAAAAGCCTGAATAATGAACATTTCTTATTCTAAATTCTGTGCTGTTTCAGTTTGACTCTTTTCTTATTCCCCATTAAAGTAATTTAAATTCCCTACTCCTTTCAAGACTCCTCTCTCATCTCCAGCAAGTAGGGCAGTCCCTGAGAGACACTCAGAGTTTTGGTGAATGAATAATTCTTACTCTTTATTCATCCTTTTGGTTCAAAAAACAAAAGGGTACTTCTGCATATTCTTTACCACTTTGTAAATTTCTTGATTTTATTTTTATCATTTTATATGTTTCTCTCTATCAGTGGTTTGGTCTCACCTTCAGTCAGAAAGGGCTTAAGATTGCCCTCCTAAACACTTTCCCTGGACTCTGTTCTTTTCTTTTTTCACTTTCCATCTTCTTCATACACTCATTTAAACCTCCATTTCCCCTCGTAACTGTACTGTAGCCATGCTATATTGCTTCCTGCCATCTTCCCCAAGAGTACCTTAAAGTAACAGCAATGCCGTTTGTTGCCAGACCCCGTCATGTCTTTGTGCTCTGCGTTTGACCTAATCTCCCTGTAGCACTGTCCCTGCTGACAGCCTCTCCTGGAAACACCCATCTATTTTGCTTGTCTCTCCTCATACCTCTCCTCTGTCTTTCTGGCTACTTCAATGTTTGCCAGCTCTTGACAAGTCAGCTGAAACCTAACCAAAAGAAAGGACATGGGAGGTAGAGGGGGCTGCTCACTAGGGGGAATAAAGACTTGGCGGTGTAGAGGACGAGGCTGGGGGATGTGGTGGGGCAGCGGACAGCTTGAAGACTGTCTCTAGGCTTTCAGGTTTTATCTAAGTGGGTCTGTTATTAAAAAGCTTGGGAAGCCATGGATTATAGTCAAGAATTAAATATATTCAGGCATCTAGACAATGAAACATCTGAAAGGAACTGAATATGAAAGTGGGCTCACCACTGTCCCGGCTATGGGGTCGTAGAACCGCTCGAGGAGCTGGACCACCGTGCTCTTCCCACAGCCACTGCTGCCCACCAGGGCCAGCGTCTGGCCCTTCTTCACCTCCAGGCTCAGCCCCTGGAGCACTGGCACATTTGGCCGTGAGGGATAATTGAACACAACCTCATTAAATGTCACATTTCCTTCAAACTTAACCTAGGAAAAAACAAAAAACCTTAAATGCTATTGTTATAATAGGTCAGATAATGATTGCAATAAGAAGTCTTATTTCAAGGAAACCTTACTGAAGACTGTAGGAGAGAAACTTAAAACTCACATTCAGTATAGTGGTGGCATCAGCAGGTCATCATCATATAAAATGACAATGGGAGATGGGGGTAGAGAGAGGTTAGACAGAAAGTCACAGTAGAAAGCTACCCAAATCCAACTTCCAGTTCTTTTAAGGCAAATATTTAGCTTTCCAATTGCTGATTTTTAGCCTGGAGTCAAACCAGTACCAAAGGCTTGTGAGTTTAGCATCAGCTTCTATCCACAATTCAGTGGATGGCCCTTGTCCCAGATGCCCTGCAGCTTCTTTATCTCACTGTCTCCTCACAGGGCACAGCTAGCTTTCAGAACATAAAATGCCTATTGACATCGTGGGAAGCTTGTGTAAGTGTTAATCTTTATACACACAGCTCTGTACACAAATGTGTAGCAACTCGTGTCATGCAGACTGGTCTGAGTCTGAGTTAACTTTATCAATGATAAAGCATAGGGCAATTATGCTCCTTGTGATAAAAATGACCTTTCTACCAGTTACAACTCAGTTATTAAGGGAATAAAACCAAATTGTTATTTGCATTAATATGACAGAATTTTATGCAAATTCCTTTGTATAGAAATCACTAGATTTTCATGGAAATTTAGTTAGTTCTGGTTCTGTTTCTTTTCATGTTGGTGTGCTAAACTTCAGAATCTTTAAAACTATCCATGACATTTTAAAAGGTTAGGAAAGTAGGTCAACTATTAGCCATGTGAATATCACCAGATAAGCTAAAACGCCAAGACAAAACATGTGCCCGGTTCTAACAGTGATTCTAGAAAGACAGCACTTCTACAACCAGAAAGCATTGCCTCAAATAGTTACAAAAGCGAATTGCAAAAATAAAACAAAACACCGGACCCAGCCATAGTAGCACATCCTTCTAATGGGAGACCTGGGTGGGTTCGATTCTTGGTCCAACCTACAGCAGTTACTCGGGCCTGTAATTCCAGCGATTTGAGACGAGGAGGCAGGAGGATGGCAAGCTCAAGGCTGGCCTGGGCAACACAGTGAGACTCTCTTGAAAAACAGCAGAGTTGTGACAGGACCTGCAGTCTCAGCTGGGAGTCAAAGGCAGGAGGATTTCAACATGGCAAGACCCTGTCTTAAAAACAAAATACCAAATCATACTCTTCTTTCGAAGTTTATGTCAGTGTGATGGAACGTTATGAAACGGCCCATTTTGCCACCTCTCACCTTCCTGCAATGTGACCTTTGCAGCATTTTGTTCACTTCACTTCAGAAGTGAAATTTGTTTTCCGACCCTTGAAACTGGGTCAGCCTTGTTGCCTGCTTTGGCCAACAGGATGTGGTGGAAGTCACAGTTGCCAGTTATGACTCAGGGGACCTTGTGTGCGCTGTGCTCACTGTCCTGGGACTCTGCCACTACCACAGCACAGGCCGGCCTGCAGGAGGAGGAGGAGGCACGCACAGAGGGGAGCTGTGTGGCTCCCAGCCTACACCTTAGTGGGCCCAGCTGTGATCCACTATACCTGGATCAGCAGAACTGCATAGCTTACCCATAAAATTGTGGGCAAAAATAAATGTTTACCATTGTATGTCACCAAGTTTAATGTTATACAGCATTATTGTAACAACTGAAAAAGGACACAGTGATGGTGGAATTATATCAGATTCTTAGATGAACTGAGCAACAAAGAGAGTTCGTCACACCCATGCCACACTGCTCTTAAGGTACGCCTGTATTCTTAATCTACTGTGTGGGAATGACAGCGCTAGAGTTGGAAAGAATCTTAGAACCTTCAAGTTCAGCTCTCAAAGTTGGTGCTTGGACACTTTCCCGAAACTGATTTTCATCTTCTTTTTCCAGAAGTAGCATGTTTGAGTCTACTGTTTATGAGTCCACCGCTAGGAGGACCGGTGGTGGTACCGTGGTAATACAACACTCTGGAAGACTGACCCACAAGGAAAGGTTCTGGGCTTGTGTCTAGAGACCTCCCTGAGTATGCTGGGTACACGTAAATCTATTATCTAGGGCTAGCTGAGACTGGGGAGGGATTGCAGCTTAAAGATCCTGTTGGTTGTATTGCCTCTCTCTCTTTCTCTCTCAGTCATGGAAGAAAGAATAAAAAAAAACTTACAAGATTTTAACAAGTTTTTTTTTTTTTTTCAAGCTAAAGACAAACCTATTTTCTACACAAAATAGGCCTTTAAGTATTGGAATATCACTAAAAAGTTTTTTCCTTCTCTGATAGCACTGCCTTCCCCTGGGCACATTTTTAAATAGTAGGCCTGGAGCTGACATAGTATCTGGGATCCCACAATACCGGAAATCACTTCCTTTCCTCTGGGCTGAATGTCTGTGTTCAGATAGAACACTGTGTTGTTGGCAGTTTATTTTTTATTTTTCTTTATTTTATTTTAACTAGTGCTAAGTAAATCACACTGGTGGTTAATTCTGGCGTTGTTATCATTTGAACCTTTGAAATATTTTTCATATGGACTGTTCTTCAGACAGGTCTCTTCTTTCCTTTAGTAGGCAGATTGATTTTGCAAAACGGGATGCCTGAGTGTTGGCAACTTTCATCAATTCAGTTCCTTGGAGTAAAGCATGAGATGCGTGAGTATCTCATCAAAGCTCCAATGTCCATGATGCCTGGCTTTGATCTTGGGTCAGATCACAACGCGCGCCCATCTCTTATTTGCCAGATTCATGTATAAGTAGAAATTTAAAACCTTCTTTTGGGGTCGTCCTGAGTAAACTACAATGCATGAATAAGCCAATGTCTAGTACTATGCTAACAGATTACACTGTCATATAAAATTCTTGCTTAAAAGTAAAACTGTATTGCTACTAATTATTTTATGCTACTGAAAGGGAGAATCTCACCCATCACCAAATCTAGAAGCTCAGAAAGATTATCCATCTTTGACTACCAAACATATTTAAGTACTTTAGTAGTATATTAAAGTCAAGGTTGTCTCCCTGATTGAGGTATAATAGTCTCTTTTTTGGGGAGGAGGGGCTAGTCTGTTTTTTGTTTTTTTTTTTTTTTATTTTTCTAGAGAGCCCATGTCCTCCCTATAGAGAGAGGGGGAAAGCGAGAAAGCAACCCCCATGGACACAGTCACACTGCAATCCTTTCTCCTCCATTTCTCCTTTTGGGATTTTGGGCATGCTTGTACATGTGCCCAGCATGTTTTTCAAGTAACAAGGTCTAGGACTTGAGTCACGCAGTCGGCCACGTGGAATCTAGCCACCATGTGACCAGCAGGTCCCTAATACGTAATTTTCTACATTCACAGCAACGTGGTGAAAAAAATTCCAATCTGGTTTTTCCTTTGTCATTTCTGAATTTCTCCAGCTCTTATCTCCCAACTGTTCTTTTTCTTTATTCATTTCTTCAGCAAGTGACACAGAGAGAGAGAGAGAGTGAGCACACCCCAAAATGGTCTTGATACCATGTTCCATCCCCAGCTTCACCAGCCCCAAGTCCCATGCATATGTGTGTCTAGCAAGCTCAGGGAGGTCTCTGGACACAAACTCAGAACCTTCCCACAGGGGAATGGATGAATGCCTCACAAAGCATCTTCTACCACTATGGCACAGTCAGGCCCCTCTAATGTCCTCTCATCGAGGAAAAGCAAATCTATCCTGGAATCTCTCAGGACGTGCAGAAGTTAGTACTGCACATCTGTACTTCAGCTGCCCTGTTAGGTAGCTTTAACAGGAGCCATCCAGAATCTTTGCTCTGGGTTAGACTTCTTCCCAAATACCAAGGCTCCGAGAACCTCTAAATTCAATTGCCCCACCCAGCCACATATTTAGAAAGGTCAGATACGTGCCAGTCTGCACTGGGAAGAGAAGATGTACTAATACTCCAAGTGAGGTGGAGTGTTTTGGTGGTAACAGGCAGAGACTCCAAGGCAAAACGACATGTCCTGAATCACCAGAATGTCTTCATGAGACTTCAGGGTAGGGTTTTCTATCCAGACACAAAGTATATCCACCCAGTCTTATTTTTAGAATTGAATCATAAATATTAAGTACTTACAATAGAACATCCTGAAAGTTCATGTGACCACGTGCCACCAAGTAGGCACCAAACCGGAAACAGCCAGCATAGGAAAAATATATCACTGCCTGGGTGAAGGAGAATGTGATTCCAAAGATGTGTGCTTTCTTCAAAGAATTTCTGGAAAAAAGACATTTAAAAACTTGCTCTGTTTTCATTTCTGTCCTTAAGACATAGTTTTACACAGGCTGGCAGTGGGACACAGGAGTGACAGACAAAAAATGAAACTAAGAACTAAGTTTAAGCTTCATTCTATCACGTACCGGTTGTACAAACTCAGACACCTCCTAAGCTCCGAACTTCATTGTCTTTATTGTTAATATAGGATTAACTAAGCCTCAAAGTGTTTATGTAAAGATAAAATAAGCTGGGATGGCCCCATAGTATGGTGATTAAGCCCTGTGTATAGGTAGCCAGATCCCACATGGCTGAGTACAGTTCAAATCCTGGCCGTGATGGGTTGAAAACACAGCAGATAAGGGTGTGTGTGGCTCAAATACTGACAGGATAGAGAAATGGAGGAAAAAGAATTGTAGTGTGGCAACACTCTATTGGAAGATGCTTTCTCTTCCTCTCTCTCTGGCAAATGCTTGTATCCTTTGGCAATCAAAAACAATAAGCCTATGAATATAAAGACCCTCTCAGGAATTAATAAATGAAAGACCCTTCCCTCCATCCTCACTTTCAGACATGTAATACGCATGTACTCTCAAGTAAAAACTCATTCCACATGTTTACCCAACACTAACTCTAGGGACTGTGCTGGGTGAATAGGCATGTCTTGCCCTGGGGGATCCAGAAGTTGCTATATTTGCACTTGAGTTACCTTCTCAATAATATGTTACAAGAATGAACACTTTTTATATGGAGGTGGAGGTGGCTTTCCAAAGGAGTTATATTCTAGGATGTTCTGAGCGACTTGGAACTCAGTGATGTGGTGTGAGTAGGACCAGGTTGGTAAGAGGGAAGCCTCTGGATTTCCATCGCCTGCTTCAATTAGGTCAAGTCTTGCTTTTATCTATGCCATATATTAGTACTTAAATGTATTTTCTTCCATTAAAAAAAAAAGTCTCTTCAATCATAAAAGATGTTTAAAAATACATATAAGGTCTAGCTGTCCCTTTTACTACAGAAAACTGAGATACAGAGCGGTTGGGCTGTTCATGTCACATCACATACTAGGTCTCTTACTGGATGACTGTGTTAAAGGAAGACAAGGAGGTCTTCAGGTAAGAAGGGGTGAAGAAAGGAAGAACAGGCCTACCTAGAGAGGACCACCACCAGTGCTCAGCAGATACCTCAAATTTCATGTTCCATTAAAAGATTATCACCAACTTGAGCTACTAATAGGATCATTATCTAAACTGGATAGTGGAAAGTCATCCTCTAGTTCCTCTCTCCTTCCTCTTCCCATCAGTTTCCCATTCTTACAGGTTCTACCTAAAGATATCCCAAGGCCTCAGGGTCTTGTGATTTTTTTCCTGGATAATTAAAAGCATTTCCAAATTGTTCCCCTCTGGTGGCTTCTCCACTTGCTCCCTAACTTCCGGCCATAGTGATCCTGAAAACAAATCTGATAAGTGGAAAACTCCCTCTACTCCTCCCATTCTTCAGTGGTTATTACCTGTATGGTATCTGCAAACCCTGTCCATACATAGATTCAAACTTCTGCTCTCGCGTCAAAGAAACCACAGTTCGGAAGTTTTCTATTGCTTCAGTAGCAATCTGCAACAGAGAGTATTTGTCACCAAGAGCCACAGGGGCAAATAGCAGCAATTAGTATGAATTCCATAATATAAATAAAAGACATTTTTTGAGGGAGAGTTTTTTGCCTTAGGGTATACATGCTTTCCAGAAAGAGACACAGACAGTGAGAGGGAAAGTGACAAATCATCCTCCAGGGGGCATGTTCACTCTGCAATCCCTTTAACTGCATTCTCCTCCTGAGATCTTGGGCATGCATGCATTTTCCTGGCATAATTTTCAAGCTACTCGGTCCAAAACTCGAGCCATAGTTGCTCATGTGGGAGTCCAGTGACATAACCACTGTGCTATCTGCTAGCCCCTAAAATTAATTTCATTATTACAAAATATTTGGTTATTGGATATTATCACCTACCAGTATTTTTTCCATGGAAAGAGATACTAAGTAATTTGTCAAATCAAGTTTTAGACTTGGAAGAAGGATAGACAAACTCAATCTACTCCTTACAGAAGGAGAAGCTCAGGCTTAAATAGATGATGACACTTGCCTACAGCCACATGGCTCTAGTCCACACAGCTTTAGTGTGCCTATCATCCAGTCCAAGTCAGAGTTTGACTCAGGGACCCTGCATGGTGCGTAGAACATAACCACTTCACAACTGTCTTCCTCTTGATGCATAGTGAAGCAATTAGGCAAAGGCTTAATTAGCATCCCACATACTCACAGCTTCACTTATTCCCAGAGTTTTAAATAGAGACCCAGTAATCACTGTGAGGAGAGAGAGTTTTTAATTTGAGAATGGGTAAATTACACTGAGCTCCCTCAGAAATCTTTATTAAACATGGAGTAAACAATTTTGAAGAAAGGAAATGTATATACGTTTCTAGGAAGAAAAAAATTAAACTTTCTTGTATTTCTCTTCTGACCCAAAAACAAATTGAAGTTTGATTATGGCTTTTATTTCTGAAAAGTAAGAATGCATCTGTTTTGTAGAAATATTTGTTAGTTCATGGTAATGTGACAGAAAACTAGAAAGTACAGATTGCAGGCAGGGCAGAGGGTGTGAGCGGGTTCTGATCTCATGCATCAGGGTACGAGCAGACTCTGACAATACACAGACACTGGACTTGCAGGCTTGCCCTCTCCCTTGAAGGACAAACCAGCTGAAGTGACCTTGGCTCCCATGGATCTTACGTTTTAGTAGTTAAAATACACCACCAGTCAATACAGAAACAGGAAAGAAACACCATTGCTGAGGAGTGTCATAAGTTAATTTGGGTACAGGAAAGGCCTTTCCAAAGAGGTAATAATTCTGGAATATATTGATAAGTATTGGAAAGGAGCCTCCCATGGAAAATCAGAGGGAACCAGCTTGGAGAGTTCTAGAAACTTCAGGAAGAACCATGAGGCCAGAACAGAGTGAGCGTGCAAGAGGGTAGTGAAAGACAAGGTCATAAAAATCATCGAGGGCTAGATATGTTGACTTTTATAAGCCTGGGTAAAAGGCTGGCTTTTATTCCAGTTGTAACCAGAGTAACTGGGGCCTTTTAAGTAGGAAGCAGCAGCATTTGATTTATAAGAGATATGAGTGGCTTCTGTGAGAAGGATATGGACTATCAGTAGATAAGAATAGAAGCAGGGAGATCAGTTAGGAGACACAATGTGACTTTGGGCAAGTTACATGGCCTCTGAATCTTGGGTTTTATCATCTGTCCTACAGGATAATTCAACAGAATACTGAGAGGATTAAATAAGATTATGTATATAAGGACCAGCAGATGGCGAAATGGTTATGTTGCTGGACTCCCACACAGTCAACTGCGGTTCAATTCCTGAACCGAGTAGCTTAAGACTCACACTGGGGCATGTGAGTGTGTGCCCAAAATCCTGAAAGGAGAATGGAGGAGAAGGGATTGCAGCGTGGCCATCTCCCATGGGTGGGAGGATGATTTCCTGCTTTCTGTCTCTCTGGCAAGCACAAGTGCCCTATAGTTAAAATCTCTCTTTAAAAAAAAAAAGAAAGATAATGTATATGGAGCTCTTGATACCTGGTATATAATAAATGCATAATCAATGGCAACCTGGTCATTACAATCAGATGGTGTCTGATTTTGACTATTACCTAAATTGGCTAGTCCAGCAACCACCACTTTTCCTACCTGCCTTTGCCCCTCTCATGTGCCACCACTGATTTAGAGCATTTATCACATCCCTGACCTCAACTCTGAACATGTGCTATATTCACACATATCCATTTCTATTTGCACCCCTTTCCTCACCTCCCTGAAAGAACCCCCAAAGTCAATTCTGATGCACCCCTTCGAAGGTGCTAACGTGTAGTTTCCAATGCATTAGCTCAGGATGGACTGTCTTCTGAGGATTGATCATCTTTTTTGTATAAACAGTCTAAGACGTCTTTGTGGAATACTTCAAACACCTCATTAAATAGCGACACTGGTAAACAGCAATATTTTTCTTTTCTTTTCTTTTCTTTTCTTTTCTTTTCTTTTCTTTTCTTTTCTTTTCTTTTCTGTTCTTTTAGATAAGAGTCAACATCATACTGTACCAAAGTGCAGTATTAAATGAGGTCACTTGTACAGAATGAACTCTCTGTGAAGGCCCTGAGCAGGACCTGCACCTAAGGGTCAGCACCATCCTGCTGTACCTCCAAAAGGGGCCTCAAACATGAGGTTTGCCCACACAAGTCCTGGCTGAAGAACACTAAAGCTGATCCAAATGATACTTTTGAAGGAATTCCAAGAAAATAGGGTGAAGAGTCCGAAGGACAGCAGGGAGGTATAAAACAGCGATAGTGGTGATGACTGGGACCTTCTTTGTCGTTCGTCTTGGTGAGGTGCCTGGTGCAGGGACAAAGGACCTTAGACATCTGGACCTACCAAGAGCCAGGGTCTCTCTCATCCACCTGGTCCCTCCCTAACTCCTGAGAACCTCGAATCTTCCACAGGGAGATGTATCAGCACTGTGATCGTTAGGCCCGGTTTTAGGCGTCAGCCCTGTTCTAGCCTCTCATTTCTGCAGTGATGCAGATCATGCAATGTCAGGCTGTCCCACCATCAGATCACCACTTTGTTTTTTGAACAGACAGAGCTACAGCTTTGGAACACAGTGGTTTGAATAATCAGCTCTAAAGCACACAGGCACTGCCTGCCTGGGCCTCAGCCTCACCTGAAAAATGAGATAAGAGAACTTAGATCACTCTAAGGAGGAAAGCGTTTGCTAGGAAACACAGTAAATGCCACATAAGCATCTGTTAAATACTAGTAGGAAAAAAATAAATAAGCATGCAGAAAACGACAAAAAAAAGTGTGAGGGCAAGGATAAACGGACATGCGGTTAAAAGAGAAGGCAGTATAGAAAGAAAAGTCTGCTAATCATTTAAACTGAATAGATAACCCAGCTCTTTTGCATATTGAATCTCCCCTATGGTGTGATAAAACAGGCCTGCTTTCTTCTACATAGGAGCAGATTTAAACTTGTTCGAAAGAGGGGGTGCAGCAGGAGGGGAAGAGGGAGAAAGGAAAGAAAAAACAAATTGGGGGAAGGAAGAAAGCAGAAGAAAGAAAAAGTGTGAAGACACCAGCCATTGCCTGACACTAGAAAAGACCACTAAAATTAGCTCTTAGTCTTGGAACATAAAGATTGATTTTGCGGGAACCAGCAGTTAGCATAACGGCTATGTCGCTGGACTCCCATGTAGTCGACCATGGTTCGCGTCCCGGACCCGGTGGCTTAAAACTCATGCTGGGTGCGTGCACGTGTGTGCCCAAGATCCCAAGAGGAGAATGGAGGAGAAGGGATTGCGGCGTGACCATCCCCCCTGGGGGGTGATTTCTTGCTTTCTGTCTCTATGTCTCTGTCTGTCTGGTGAGCGCACGTGCCCTATAGCAAAAATCTCTCAAAAAAAAAAAAAAGAAAGAAAAGAAAAAAGATTGATTTTGCAATAAACAGCGATGTGCAAGCACTTTTCCAATGAGTGTCCACACTCTATGACTGAAACTGACTAACTAAAGGATGTACAAACACAAGAGATGGGTGTGATTGCCAGATGGTGTGTGTGGAGGAGTGGGGGCCTGGGGAAAGACATTTGGAGGAGGGATACGGAGACAGAGCACTGATAGGACAGGGAGGTGTGGTGTTATCTGTTGAAGATATTTTGATCACCTAGATTGTGGAGAAATGCTCACATATTGAAATGTTCACTTTGTAAGCTAAATAACGTGATTCAATGTCTAAAAAATTTTTTTTAAATTGATTTTGCTACTTTTCTTGTTCTAATCTGCTGAATACGTGTCAGAAAAGACTGCTTTGGGGAATGGTTGTAAAAACATCCTCAGAACATAGGAAGGAGTGGGGAGTAACAAACAACACTGGGTCAAGTATTTAATTTGCTAGGTAAGCCATTATCCTTAGTCAGACTCACCTTCCCAGCACCTTCGAGTTCTTGCTTATCTTTGCGTGCTTGTCCAGACAACATTTTCATTTCAATAACTCCTGCTATTGCAATGATGGGTACAATTGCCAAGAGTAAAAGTGTTAACTGCCAACCGTAGACTAAGGATATAATAATTCCTGTCCCAAGATTTGCCACATTTTCGGTAATTACAGCAAGCCTGGAACCGATGGCCTGCAAAATGAACAAACAAAAAAATTAGAGAGATACTTCTTAAGAATTATGACAACTTGCCTTCATTAAAATCTATTTCCTATCTTTCTGGTTATAAAATAAAGTCAAGGTTTATTTATAAGAAGCTCATTGAGTTTCTAAAAATGAGGATTTCCATGAGTTCACAATAAATACTGAAAGCAAAAGACCAATAAACCAGAATTCGATTACATATTTTTCACTCTTATTTATTAATATCAAGGAAATCTTCATTAATCAAAGCCGAGATCGACAAATTAGCAAAATCAAACAGTCTTATAATTACTATACGTTAAACTGGGAATCGTGGAGGCTTTCAGTGTTAGGTATGTGACTATAATGTAAGCATAATATTTGTCTCTAAAGATATTTAAATATGTCTGAATCTACTTGAGATGCTTATGATGTTTAATTTAATCTGAATTTGATTAGGAAAGATGCACAAACTTGAAAGTTACGGAATGTAGTTGAGGGGACACTAAGCAGGCCTCAGAGCCTTGAGCACAGGAAGCCTTCCACAGAGGGAACATGACGTCTGGTTGTGTACAGTCATTTCCGACTGTGATCCAGAAGTCAATCTACAAAGGCATTTAATTCACTGCTACATAATTCAGTCCACCGTGCCTCCTCTACCCTGGAACTTTGTGCCTCAAGTCAAGCCAAATTTTTGCTCTGGGCTCCAGACCTGCTTTCTCTGGAAACAGCCCATGGATTTTTTTTTTTTTTTCACCCCTGAAGTTGCTTCTGTTTGAGTGGAGCTGATCTCAGGTAAAGACAACTATGGAGTACAGTCTAGGAAGGCCACTGCCTACTCTATGACTTTGGGCAAATTTCTCCCAGCTTCCAAAATGAGCAAGTGCATTGATTAACCAAAGCTCTTCTCCACTCTAAATTACATGATAGAACCCTGTATAATCCCCCATATCAATCCCTTCAAAACCATTTAACATCCGTCTGAAATAAAACTAGACCAGTGCTTAGGAGGAAGAGCTGCAGATACTGAAAACCTTTATACACTTCAATCCACACTGACGAACAGACCCCAGACTGAAAGCAACAACATAAACAATAGAGTACATTTATTTTTAGCTGATGAAGCACCGAACTTCTATTAAAGGGATTTTTTGCCAGTTTGGGCATAAGTCGGAGACTGGAGTAGCCTTCAAGGCAACTCTCTGTGTTCCACATTTTCAGTTCGGAGGTCGAAGGAGGCAGCCTGAACAGTCTGCAGTACAGGGATGACTCCACTTGTCCCTGTTCTTAGTATCTGCAAGTCCTACTCAGATCCCATGTCCCACAGCTACCAGTGACTGAGAGGAACACTCAGAACATGCCCGGAGTTCATAGCAGAGGTATGACCTTGCCATATAACCTTTCAAACATATATAAATGTTTAGCTTTGGACAGTAGTCAAGGGCCACAGAAATAAGATGGATTGAACATGGCAAATTTGATTTAGCTTGCTGGGTGATCCTACCATACTGGCTACTGGTCCTTAATTCTAAGGACTAATATTTACTGTCACTTCTATGCTTCACACAGGGTGGGAATCTATGGAGCTCTCTAGACTAAATAAATGGAAGAGCATTCTTCTACTAAGAGTAGCCAAATGACCTTCATATGGAAGAATAGGGCTGAAAAGAAGAAACACTCAAAAACCCACAGCCCCAGTGTCATGCAAGCTAAAATGAAATGGGCTAATGTCTAAAACCTGCTAAGACTGATCCTCCTATGTCTCCAGCCCACTGGAGTTGCCCTTATTTGTATCTCATGTTCTCTCTTCCTTGTTTATTTCTCCACTCTTCCCTGTTTCATGCTCTCTTGTTATTTATTTCCTCCTTAAAAATCCATCTTATTGAGCCAGCAGGTGGTTTGGTGATTAAGGTACTGGATCCTAGGTGGCCAAGTCTGTGCTTTGAGTCCCAGACCGAACAGCTTGAGAAACACACTGGGCACATGTGTGTGTGCGTGCCCAGAATTCCTGAGTGGAGAATGGAGGAGAAGCGACTGCTGTGCGGCCAACCCCACTGGGGATTTCTTACTTTTTCTCTCTCTGTCCAGCACATGCACCCTATAGTAAAAATATATATTAAAAAAAACTTATCATCTCACTTAAACTCCCATTTGAAATTCTGTGTGTTCATTGAAAACAGTATATTTTTTACACTTCCTTTTGAAATGAGGAATATGGTGTTTACTTTTCACCAGTCCCTCAGCCAGTTCTCTCAGAAAAATTTAGTATCTCATTGCTTTTGATTTCTACATAGTCCTTATTTGTTTCTTTCTCTTCAAGATATCATACCAAAGTATGATATCAACTCTAGATATCATACCAAAGCAAAAATGGAAAAGCTCACCACTTCATAGGAAAATATTAAGATATGATTAGTATTTAGCAAGGTTGAGCTCCTTCAATAAATTACAATCCTAAAAACATCCAAAAAACATTCACTGGAGAAGTCAAATATGAAAAAAAATTCAACTTATATAATAACATCACTGACTGTATGCACACAAACCTGAGTTGGTCATGCCTTGGGTAGCATAGTTTTATGACAGCATAGTTTGCTTCAGATATTTTTATGTATAATAAATGAATTATACTACTTTTTACTGGAAGATAGACATGCATAGGTACATATGAATATCTGGACATGGGCATATAAATGTTTATATCTTTATACATGCACACACATGTATCTCCCGTCACAAACAGGTTAAGTATGGTATAAACAGGATACAACTGATGGGACCAGCAGAGGGCGTAATGGTTACATCACTGCTCCCATGTAGTCCACTGTGCTTCATGTCCCACATCTGGCAGCTTAAAATGCACCCGGGCATGTGGACATGTGCCCCAAATCCCGAGAGGACAATGGAGGAGAACGGATTGTGGCAGGGCCATCACCCCTTGGGGCTGATTTCTCACTTTCTGTCTCTCTGACAAGTGCAAGCATCCTATAGCAAAAAAGGTCTCAAATAAATAAATAAATAAACCCAAAAAACTGGATACAACTGTCTTCTCTAGTCAGTCTGTGATTATAGCTATTTTGGGCTTTTCTATTTCAATGGCATACGCCAACCTGCTTGTTTACTCTTCCTTGTATTTTTTTTTTTTAAGCCACTTTTTCCAGTTTTGGAGGACATTTTTGATGCCAAGTGGCTCAGAGTAGTTGCAGGTATCCACTCATGGGCATGAGAGAGTGACAGTTTGAGGTGCCTTGAGGAAATAAGTGAAAAGCAGGCTTTTCACCAGTGGACAATTGGAGACTAGTGGACTTGGCCAAAGTCCTCACAAACAACACTGTAGAGGCAAAGGGAAGACCACCAATCTGGCAGCTATAGGAAAGCACTGTCGCCTGAGGCAGGTCACAATACCAGAGGGACCAAAGGGGAGGGAAGAATTTATGAAACACAGTACACTCAGATGACATCTACTCAGAGTTCTACTATAAGGGACAGATTTCATGTTCCTCCTAGGATGCTGCCTTTCCTACCAAATGGATATGGGAAGTGTCTGTCACAGCACAATAGCACATACAACAGGTCTGACTGATGATAAAAATCAACGCCTGCAATGAAAACTCAGTTTCATGCTGAAGTTGAAAATGGCCCATACGGGAAGCAGCAGTTAGCGTAATGGCTATGTCGCTGGACTCCCACGTAGTCGACTGCGGTTTGCATCCCGGACCCAGTGGCTTAAAACTCACGCCGGGCGTGTGTGCACGTGTGCCCAAGATCCCGAGAGGAGAATGGAGGAGAAGGGATTGCGGCGTGACCATCCCCTTGGGGGGGTGATTTCTCACTTTCTGTCTCTATGTCTCTCTCTGTCTGTCTGGCGAGTGCACATGCCCTATAGCGAAAACATCTCAAAAAAATTAAAAATAATAACAAATGGAAATAAATACTTTTTTAAAACTCAGAAAAGGGCTGAAGAAACAACATAGGGAAAAGGCTGATCTCCACTTCCAGGTGTGCTGAGAAATCTCCCTAAGACAAAGTTGAAAACGGCAATGTAAGGCCTCCCTCTGGCAGTTCCTCAAAATGTTAACCACGGAGGTGCCTCGTGGCCCGGCATAGACGGGGTCAGTTCTGTTTATCACATGTACATCCCATGTTCAGCACGTGGGAGTTGACAACTGTTAGACAAGTAAGGACCTTAACCCTAAGTACATAAATATATGAGTTCATGTATCAAAAATATTTCTCAGTGCCTACTTTGTCCCAAACATGACCTTTTATTTTTTTCCAAGCATGATTTCTAAGTGTTGGACATATACACAATAGTGAACTAATGTGACAAAGTCATTTTCACAAAGCCTTTGATTTAGAAGCAGAGGGCACAAACAAATAAATATATCTGAGGTCAGGTGGTAAACAATGCTATGAAGAAGAACATATCAGGAGGCCTTCAGAAGAAGATTCCACATGGCCCCTGCAAACTAGGTATTTCAGGGCACATGAGAAATGAAGATTTTCTACTGATAATTCAGCCTCCAGCAAACAAGCTAGCAGTAGGGAGCCCCCCACCCCCAGCCTTCTATCTCTGTTTCTGTGTCTCTGTCTCTCCTTGCTTCTGTCTTCCTTTTGTTGTGTAATTTTTCCTATTTACATTTTTTTTAAAGGCAAAGTTTTTCTCTTGCTCTCAGCTCCACCTTTTATCTTGTTAATTAACGCTCTTGTGCTCGCTCCCACCCAGGCAGGATAGGCCAGGCCTTCAGAAGAAGATTCCACATGGCTCCTGCGAACTAGATATTTCGCGCGGCGCTCGTGTGCCAAGCGGTTTTCAATTTTGTGATTTTTTTTTAACAATGAAAAAACAGTAATTACAGTTTTTGTCTTTTTTTTTCTCTTTTTGTTGTTGTTTCTCTCTTTTTCATTTTCCTTTTTCTTGTCTCTCCACTCTCCAGTATCCATTTAATGTGTTTTTAGACAGATCTAAGAGCACTGTAGCTAAACATCCAAATACTAATAGGGTTAAAGTATTCTTCAATATCTACTGAATCTGTTGCACCAGTGATCACAACAGAATGACAAAGAGAATCTAGATCACCTCTGTCTGCTTGCTCCTGAACATTCAGACTGAACTTCAAGAATTTGAAAGAAAGAAACCATCCATCAGATGACAAGAAATCACCGCCGGATCACAAGAAATATGGGAAAACAAGAAAATACCTCTCCTCCAAGGGAAAAGAGTAACTCTTCTTCTTCACAAGCAGTTCGGTGAAAATCATGGAAATGTCTAATAAGGAATTTAGAGCATTCATAATGTCGAAGCTAACAGAGATGGAAGAGAAGAGAGACAATGATCTGCTAAAGAGAAAGGAGAAAGAAGTTGACGAGTTCCAGGAGATGAGGAAATTCTTGCAAGATCTAAAAGAGGAATTACACACTTTAC